TTTTAGGCACCTCAATACATTTTTTCTGCTATGGTAAACAGAATTTAGCTTTATTATACAATCTGCCAACTGATCGAAAGAATGTGCTTTGAGATTCTGAGTCTCCAGTTTTGTCAGTTTCTTACTTCTTAGCTTCTGTTTTTTTCTTCTGTAAAATAGAGGTATGATGATAACACCCCTTGTGCAGAAGGAGTTCACACAGCAGGCCTGAGACTATCTTTGAGTAACCTAATTGCAGGATTGGCCCTTTACTGGCATCTGGAAACTTGGGTTTTAGGAGGGTTCTCACTGTTCCCTGATAATAATGGCTCACTGTGACTAAACTGTTTATCCAGACTATTTTAGTCTCTGCTGAACCCATGTTTCCTTCTGGAGTTTGGAATTTTGGCAGGGACCAGGCAGAGGTGCCCATGTGACAGGTACCAGGTAAAATCCTCAGGCACTGAGTCTTTCCCAAGCTTCCCTGTGTGGACAGAATTTCCTGTGTTGTCATAATTCAGCGCTAAAGGAATGGTCACATCCAGCCTCAGTCTGCTGAGACCGACCACTGGGGGCTCGTGCCTGCAGACTCCGCCCTTGCACCTTTCTCCTCTGCTGGTTCTGCATTGTATGCTTTCTCTGCAATAGATCATCGCCATGAGTATCACTCCGTGCTGAGTCCTGTGAGTTCTTCCAATACATGAAACCTAGGGGTGGTCTTGAGGACCCCCCACCAGAGGATTGTCTTGAGTTTTAAGTGAGCTCAGACACACTGGACAGTTAGCACTTTTCCAGACTAAGCGGGTGCTCGTCCAAGAGAAGAAGTCCTTGACCAAGCAGGTGTGGATTTGAGGCGGGTTCCATACTATCTTTGGCCTGAATGTGAGTTTCCTCAGTGCTATCAGGAGAATGGACATCACTCATGGAATGTCACAATACACTTTGGATGTTCCCTCTCTGCTTTTAGTCATGTGTGAGCTTCACAGGAACATGACTTTAGGATTTACAGCTTCACTTTCTTTTTAAGTTGTTTCTTCTTTAATTCAAACTTACTAGACACCTAGAACTATATTTACTACCATTTAAATTACAGTTGTATAGTATCACATGATGAAATGTAGGCAAATTAATTCAGCTGTGGGTTTCCTCTGTCTTATTTTACAAGAATAGTATTAGTTCATTAATATTTTCTTTTTTTTTATATTCTCACTTGAATGCCATAGCAACCAGTGAGAAATTCACAGTCGGGAAGGAAATAGTAAGACATTTCTATTCTGGTTCTAAAAATGCTTGATCTAACATTCTCAGTGCTTGTTCAAGTATGAATATATGCAAATCCTCAAATGATTTTTCTACAACAATTGTCACCTGGTTTCTAAAAGTGATCATAAAGTTTATTAAAATGTCAAGTGGATTCAGCCAATGCATAACCAAATTATATTTCAAATATATTTTTATTTTCATAAAGTAATACTGAGAGATGGTATATAGAGTCACTTACTTATTTGGCATAATTTCTTGGCCACTGAAAACCTAGGTCCTTGACAAGCCAGAGGATAGATCACAATTAAGATTCCACTGAGTGGACACAATATAACAGCTAATATGGTTACCCAGATGGGGCACTGTTGCTTGAGACTGTGAAGCAACTAAAATAGAGAAAAGTGATGGGCATCTGAAGAGGCAGGGGATGGGATCATAATCAGTTAGCATTTTCTGTGCAATGATCTGCTCCAAAATGTAATGGCTTAAAGCAACAGCCATTTTATTTACTTTCTGATTCTGTAGGTTGATACCGTAGGTCTGTCTCAGCTGTTTGTTGATTTTTTCTTCCTGCTTGTTTTGACTGGGTGCAAAAGTGGATAGCTGCTGGTCAGCAAGACAGCTGTTTCCAGGGCTCATTGCCTGGGCTGATGAGTGACTGGGTTACATGACCCGTCACCCCCTAACTAGACGGCCTGGCCTCGTCCTCATGCTGGCTGGTTCCAAGAGCAGCATGGAGGCAAGCCCCAGGGGGCAAGCACATTCCAGGCTTGGGTCATAATTTCTGTTGCCCTTTTGTGGATTACATATCCTGGTCCAGAGTCAGTGCTGGAGAGACCCACCCGAGGGCTGGACACTGGCAGGCAGGAGACACCGGGGCCATTCCTGCGACAGTCCACTGCTGCTGCAGCCTTTCCTTCTTCATGCTCTGTCTGAGGTGTGCTCAAATGTTGGAAATCAATTGGCCTGTATTTATTAACCTAATTATAGTAAGGTACTTAAAGAGTTTTAAAAACATGTCATTATGTTTTGTAAGAGAGACAACATGTCAAGGTATTTTTGAGCCCTTTTTATCTTTCATTAGCTTTTCATTGTCAGCTTATGTGAGTTTGCTAAATGAGTTTGAAGTAATCACCAGGATGGATGTGAAAAAGGGTTTTGATAAAGTCTGGGGAGTTAATGCTATGAAGACTCTGGTCCCTGTCAAGGCTACATATGCTGTGCTATGGTCTGAATGTGTCTCTCCAAAATCTGTGTGTTGACATTCTAATTCAAATGTTGTTTAGTCACTAAGTTGTATCTAAATCTTTTGTGACTCCATGGACTGTAGCCAGGCTCCTCTGTCCATGGGATTTTGCAGGCAGGAATACTGGACTGGGTTGCCATTTCCTTCTCCAGGGGATCTTCCCATCTCAGGGATTGAACCTGCATCTCCTGCGTTTGCAGGTAAATTCTTTACTGCTGAGCCACCACCAAAGCCCCAGTGTGATGGCAGTAGGAAGTGGGGCCTTTGGGAGGTGATTGTCCCTTGAGGTCGGAACCTCATGAATGGTATTAGTGCCCTTATTAGAAAAGACCAGTGCAAGCTCCTTTGTCCCTTCCAACATGTGCTGCTGCTGCTGCTAAGTCACGTCAGTCGTGTCCGACTCTGTGTGACCCCATCGATGGCAGCCCACCAGGCTCCCCCGTCTCTGGGATTCTCCAACATGTCAGGTCACAGCAAAGAAACAGCTAACCAGAAAGCAGGTTCTCACCAGGTAGTGAAGGAATAGAAGCATTAGAAAACTAGGAGGAAGTAGGAAACCCCTGCTGACTGAGCAGGGATAACAGTTAAAAGAAAAGAAAAAAAAGAAGAAGTTCCAAAGGAGGATGAAGGGAAGGGAGGGAGGGAGAGTGAAAAGGACGATGTTAACATCTGTGGAGCTCTGATCTTAGGTGTTCTTCACTAAATGTTCTGTTCTGGGTGATGTTAGTCTCTCAGCAAATATTTCTTGACCCCTACCATGTGCCAGACATTGGCTAACAGTAATGAACAAGTGGACAGCATCCCTGCTCTTACGGATCTTATATTCTAGAAGGGAAGACAGATCCTAGGCATGCCATTGTACACAACTGACAGCAATGAATAAGTGTGGTGAAAAATATGTACATGACTGTAGGAGTGTATGTATAACCCACCTACTCAAGTCTGAGGGCTGGGAGAAAGTTTCTCCCACAGAGTAACACTGAAGCCAAAGCACCATGTTTTGTAATAGGTGCAACAAGGTCGTTGGGATTCCCCAAATGATTGTGATTGTCCTGTTCACAATAACTTCAGAGAGGGAAAAGCAGTCGCCTGCGATCACAGTGAACACTAAGTGGCATTCAAGTCCAGAGTACCTTAACGTGTTTTCAATAAACGTAAAGCGTAAACTGATTATTTTACATATTTTCTATGTGTATCTTTGTCGTTTGTTGTTGTTTAGTCACAAAGTCGTGTCCAACTCTTTTGGAAACGCATGGCCTGTAGCCCACCAGGCTCTGCTGCCCATGGAATTCCCAGGCGAGATACTGGAGTGGGTTGCCATTTCTTTCTTCACAGATCTTCCCAACCCAGGGATTGAACCTGTGCCTCCTGTATTGGCAGGCGGGTTCTTTATCACTGAGCCACCAGGGAAGCCATAGGAGGTTTTAAATTCATAAACTGCATTGTTTCAAACAAATAAAATACATTGCATAAAATTCTAAATATACCGTATAAAATCGATATTGTTCCCTGCGTCCCCCTGGCTCCCTTCTCTGCAGGTAATACCAGTCAATCTCTGGTATATTCATCCAGAGGTATGTTCCATACGAGCACTTAGCACTCACTTTGTGCCAGGTGCTTTTCAGACATTTGTCTTACAAGTGTTTACTTGTTTAATCCTAATAAAATTTTATGTGGCAAATATAATTAACCCCATTCGTGTTTACACATATTTTTCCATACACTTGTTTTAGATGTTAAGTGCACATCAGACTTTGAGATACTTCTCCCTGTGTGCTAATCAGCTTTTGCTTTGGTAACACCACATAACAAACAAATATGAGGTCTTAATGGCTCCATGACAAACATTTCATACTCACAAGTCAGCTGTTGGTCTGACTCCAGCCTGGGGGTCAGATTTGTGTCTGCCTCGTGCATCTCTCCTTCCAGAATCTTGGCTGAGGGACTGTCGTCCACTAGAGAGATGTGCATGCCAAGTGGCAGAAGTGTAAGAGGGAAGTGGAAACACAATACCTTCAAAAACCTCCACCCTGGGGACTTCCCTGGTGGTCCAGTGGATAAGATTTGCCTTCCGCTGCAGGGGGTGCAGGTTTGATCCCACACGCCTTAGGGCCAAGAAAACAAAGCAAAACATAACACAGAAGCAGTATTGTAACAAATCCAGTAAAGAGAGTAAAAACCATCCACATCAAAAAAATCTTAAAACATCTCCACCCTGAACTGAAGGGCTTTTTCTTCCTCCACAGTCCATTAGTTAAAGTGAGTCACATGACCAAACTCAGGGAGTTGGGAAACCCTACTCCACATGGCAAGTATAAGGAAAAAGCAAAATTTTTAAATGAAGTTGCCTCATCTACAGACTCTGAAAGTACAACTTGCATCATCTGCAGCTAATAGTGGAAAAGCTGAAAAGACAGAACGATGAGTGAATTACTAATTTTCCTGTGGTCTTCTGGCTGGCAAGATAATAAACCGCTCCCTTTTCTGTTTTCATTTCTCAGGATTTTGCATCATGTTTGGAAAAAAAAAGAAAAAGATTGAAATATCCGGCCCATCCAACTTTGAACACAGGGTTCACACTGGCTTTGATCCACAGGAACAGAAATTTACCGGCCTCCCACAGCAGTGGCACAGCCTGCTAGCAGACACCGCCAACAGGCCAAAGCCCATGGTGGACCCTTCCTGCATCACGCCCATCCAGCTGGCGCCCATGAAGGTATGACCAGGACTTGCTCTTTAAGTTGGCTTGGAAAGCGTGATCTCATTTGATGCAGGGTGAGCTCTCAAATGCCTAAATCATGTATTTGTTTTTAAATATCCACATATTATCCACAATTATTCTTCGGTGATTATAACATTTACCACTTATAAATTGCAGCACATGAAAAGCAACCTCAGCTTTCAGATGTGAATCTTTTTTTCTCAGATTCATACAATGCAAACACAAAATAGGAAATTTTTATTTCTACTTTTAATGGTGTTTATTCTTTTAACTAAAAAACATCATCCACCTACTCTGGTAGATATTGTCAGTAACCTCTGAGTAGATAGTATACTAGGCAGCCTTGTGTTGTTATGCATTTTTCCTCAGAATGTCTAAACTTTTATATAAAATTTAGTAAAAACAGGTGTTAACTATACTAAATGATTTTTATGTATGTATACTCACATACATGCATATGCATATATATTTTGTATATAATAAAATATATTTATTAGTGTATACATACCTATAAATTATACATATATAGTCTTCATAGTCTAACAGAGAGAGATTTCAAATAAAAATGAATTATGTGATTCCTGGAATAAGATATAACTTACCTTAAACAAATAGCTAGTAGATTTTTAAAAAGACTGTTCATCAGGATCATTGCATTAAAGCGGAAATCAGACTCAAAACATTTCAGATAGGTCAAGAGACTACCAAAAACCCGGCCTTTGCAGTTTACTTCTGTACCTCAGGATGATAAGAATTCCCTGGGCCATCATATTGCCCAAAGGCTTCCTGTGGGAATTAATCATTGAAGCTTATTGTCATGTTATCCAATAGGTCAAATTCTGTCCTTACTTCTTATATCAGTAGGCATCTGAGCTAGGTAAATACCTTATTCTATATTAACATGCATATTGAATACACTGGGTTTAAATGATATGTAAAACAACAGTGGATGTATTTTTAAAGGATTTAAAGAAGGAACCTAGCTGATAAACTACAAGAAATGCTTGTAAGAGATCACTTGCACTGAGTAACTTGGAATTGTGATTTTGTCATTTATTCATGGTCTTATGAGCCAATTTATTCTCGTACTGAATATCTGGGTCTGTCCTGCCCAAAGATTGACACAGAGTGTTTTAATCTTGCATCTTGTAAATTTTATGTTCTGATAAGATTTTGAAACTTTTCAGGCCAGGTGAAATGTAAAAAAGAGGTGGATATTCAATAAGATAAATCTTTAGGGACAAAATGGAACCTCTCATCTTAAACAGGTATTGATCAACATTTAATAGAAGCTGACCAGTTAACCAACTCTACTTGTTAATATTAGGCAGTATCCTAGACAGGGAGGCCAGGCGTGATGCGGTCCATGGGGTCACAAAGGGTCGGACATGACTGAGCAACTGAACTGAACTGAACTGATCCTTCTATTGAAGATGATTTTCTCTGGAATAAAAGATAAATGCCTCACTAATGACTAAATAATAGGCTGGGACTTATCTAAAAAGAAATCAAGATTGGAAAGAATTTGCTTTATAGTTTCATTATTTTTTGCAATATTCTGAGTTTTTATAAAACCCAGAAAAGGAAGATGCAGTGTGCCCCAAAAAGATATCTGCTATTGATCATCATGGCAAAGGAGAATGTCCAAATGAAACAAGGGCTATTTTCTTAACTTTAAGAAATTGCCATTTGATGAGGAGTGTTCTAGAAGGGAGCTGTTTTAGTGTATCATCCTAGTTAAAGGCCAGGATGTGCTCTCTTGTTAGGGAGTGTGGAGTGTGCTTATTACGGGATGAGGTTAGAGTGACATCTACTGCACCATGGTTCTTCACTTGTGCTAGTCTTAGCAGGTCCTGGCTGGCAGTAAGGTAGGAAGCTCCCATCCCAGTGATAACCCATCATGCCCAGTGGCTGTAGGACTTAAGAGGATCTTCTACCTCATTTCTTCCATCTCCTGGGTGAGATGCTACCTTTCTTCTTGGACAGAATTTATCAGCCCCACTGAGAAGTGGAGCAAAGTTGCCTAACTGAGCCCCATGTTTCTCTTACTCACATAATGGGCTTCCCAAATTTGATGCCAAATGTGTGAGAATCCAGTCTGTATGGGGGAATATTTGTTATAGACTTTTAAATGCTAAAAGACAAATGACTAGAAAATACATCTCAAGTGTGAATCCAGTCCTGGATTTCTGCACATTTCAGGCACAGTAATGCCTATGGAAAAAAAAAATACAGACAAGGAATGAAGAGTCACTTCACTTCAGTTCAGTCACTCAGTCATGTCCAACTCTTTGTGACCCCATGAAATGCAGCATGCCAGGCCTCCTTGTCCATCACCAACTCCCAGAGTTTACTCAAACTCATGTCCATTGAGTAGGTGATGCCATCCAACCATCTCATCCTCTGTCGTCTCCTTCTCCTCCTGCCCTCAAGCTTTCCCAGCATCAGGGTCTTTTCAAATGAGTCACCTCTTCTCATCAGGTGGCCAAAGTATTGGAGTTTCAGCTTCAACATAAGTCCTTCCAGTGAACACCCAGGAGTGATCTCCTTTAAGATAGACTGGTTGGATCTCCTTGCAGTTCAAGGGACTCTCAAGAGTCTTCTCCAACACCACAGTTCAAAAGCATCAGTTCTTTGATACTCAGCTTTATTTATAGTCCAACTCTCATACCGATACATGATTACTGAAAAAGCCATAGCTTTGACTAGAAGGACTTTGTCACTGCTTTTTAATATGCTGTCTAGGTTGATCACAACTTTTCTTCCAAGGAGCAAGCGTCTTTTAATTTCATGGCTGCAATCACCATCTGCAGTGATTTTGGAGCCCAAAAAAATAAAGTCAGCCACGGTTTCCACTGTTTCCCCATCTATTTGCCATGAAGTGATGGGACAGGATGCTATGATCTTCGTTTTTTGAATGTTGAATTTTAAGCCAACTTTTTCACTCTCCTCTTTCACTTTCATCAAGAGGCTCTTTAGTTCTTCTTCACTTTCTGCCATAAGGGTGGTATCATCTGCATTTCTGAGGTTATTGATTTCTCCCAGCAATCTTGATTCCAGCTTGTACTTCATCCAGTCCAGCATTTCTCCTGGTGTACTCTGCATATAAGTTAAATAAGCAGGGTGACAATATACAGCTTTGACATACTCCTTTTCCTATTTGGAACCAGTCTGTTGTTCCAAGTCCAGTTCTAACCATTGCTTCCTGACCTGCATACAGGTTTCTCAAGAGGCAGGTCAGGTGTTCTGGTATTCCCAGCTCTTTCAGAATTTTCCACAGTTTATTGTGATCCACATAGTCAAAGACTTTGGCATAGTCAATAAAGCAGAAATAGATGTTTCTCTGGAACTCTCTTGCTTTTTCGATGATCCAGTGGATGTTGGCAATTTGACTCTGGTTCCTCTACCTTTTCTAAAACCAGCTTGAACATCTGGAAGTCTAGGTTGAATTTTCCCCAGAAAGAACAAAGTTAATTAAATGCTTTCTAACTGAAAGACACCCAAGAAGTCCATCCTTCATACTCTCACCAAACCCTTTAAGATGGAGCTGCTCCTTCTCCAGACCCTATGAATGCAGTTGGTGCTGTCAGCACTTTCGTATCATAGTGAATCCACTGACTGTACCAGTTCCTTGAATTAGGAAAATAATAGGTTCAAAGGGCCAGAGTACGCCACAAAATATGGATGAACTCACTCTTTAAACAAGACTGCTTTGGGGAAATCTTGCAAATGACCTGAGAAGGGCTAGTTATAAACTATGCAAAATATATTGCAGAAGTCAGAATATTCTTTGGAATAAGAAGCCATGAATGAATTGATAGAAAGGAATGAATAGGTAGAGTTGTGCAGGTTTAAAGCCCATTTTGTCAAAATGTTTTATTTATTTATTTTTTAAGTAGAACTGGAAGTTCTAATTTGGAGTCAAATTGCCCTTTAAAACAGACAAAGGAAAATGAGAGAAGAGATTGTGATATAAAAACAGTAGTGGAAGAGGTATACAGTTCCTTAGGTGGTGGCAAAGTACTGTTTCTTCAGAATTGTAAACTTCAGGCTGGCTGGTTTTGAATGTAAATTCACCATTGTAACCAACACGCTGTCCTCTGATTGGTTGTGTCAGCTGCTTCAGTCCAAACCTTATTTAAATCACATGTCAAAATCACTGGGACATACTCTTCTATGTCAATTCTTTCAGGTCAGTGTTTCTCAAGCTACAGTCCAACAGAATCACCTGGATGGCTTGATAAAACACCGATTGCCAGGCCTATCCCCAGAGTTTCTGATTGAGCAGGGCTGTGATGGAGCCTGAGAATTTGCAATTCTGAAAAGATTCCAGGTGACACTGATGCTACTGGTCTGGGGACATGCTTTGAGAACCTTGATTTAGGTCATTGAAAAGCAATTTGTCCACATAATGTAACAGTGCAAGTTTACACCGGCCAACATTTCCAAAATCTCAGAAACCCAGAGCCAAGGGTTAGCTTAGAATTGTGTCAAAAGTTAAACTTCAGGTACCCAAGCCAAAGGCATGTAAGCAAGGTGAGAGGGGGTGGGGAGCACCCTTTAAAACATAAAACATTTGGGAAATAACTTTGAGAAACTCCTTTTGTATGTGACATCATTTTGTCCACAAGAATGTCATAAACAACATTACCAAAATTCCTGCTGAATTAGATACTTTTATATAAAGGGCCTTTGTAATCTGTGGTTAGGAATCTGCTTTGCTGCTGGCTCAGATGGTAAAGAATCTGCCTGCAGTTCAGGAGACCTGGGTTCAATCTGTAGGTCAGGAAGATCCCCTGGAGAAGGAAATGGCGACCCACTCCATTATTCTTGCCTGGAGAATTCCATGGGCAGAGGAGCCTGGTGGGCTACAGTCCATGGGGTCGCTAAGAGTCAGACATGACTGAGTGACTAACACTTTCGTATAAAGGGTCAGTTGAATGGTCATGTTTTTCTTGCCTAGTGGTTCTCAAATGGACTTTCAGCTGAATCTC